GAAGGGACGCTACCGGCGACGGTTCCAACCAGATCCAGGACTTTGTTCGCGTGAGTTTTGACAGCATGTTTGTGAGCAATAAATCTTTTCACTCGGCTTGCTAAAGTTACTGTATAGCAATCGGACTACCTAGTTCGTATGCAGGCTTCTTGGCGGCGTTGCTCATACAAGCGCCGGTCTCTAATATCAGATGTCTCTGCCCCATATTTGCCTGTTCAGACGATAAATTCTAATATATTCAACTGCGTATCAACTCTTAGAAAAGGAAAGCTTTAAACATTTTGTTGAAGAGTTGAATTTCACCGTCTTCATCTCTGCCCTGCCGAACCCCGAGCATTACAGGCCTTCCGAAGACTGCCTCCGCAGCTAGCAGAGGAACATTCACTTGGCCTTGGTAGGCTGCCTGCAAGCAAATACAGCTGTTCAACTAGTGTCCACAGAAACAAGGCACGCAGCAAAGCAAGCTTGGTTGTGCGCCTATATTAGGCTGCCTTGCATCTTCATTTGCACCGAGCTGTGCAGCAACTGATGTCAGGCCGCATCATCTCCCGCACCTCCGGCACCAGAGACGCTGCGCTCACGACGCCTGGAGACAAGCAAGCTAGGTCAGTTGCCTTTACTTAACGCTTGCATGAAGTCTTTGAGCTTCGATGCACCCCACGGAGGTCCTCGAATAGGGCCGAGGACTCTCGGTTACACTTGGTAGCACCGCATTGCTCACCTGGGCAGATGCGAACGAGAAGCCCTACCCTTCAGCAGAAGGGTTGCTTAGTTCGTTAATTAAAAAGAAGGCTTTACGAGAAAGAAGACCTCAAAAAATCCCCTACACCTTTACAAAAACCTCAACCCTCTCCTCTGGCATTATGAGGATTGACCATGAGCTGCTCTTCGGTATGGGTGCGACCCACGGTCTGGTGCCCACCCCCAAAAGAAAGAAATTCGACGTCGGCATCTCACCAGGTGAACAAACTCAGAACCAGAGGATCTTGGGGCTATGAATGCCACCCCACCCATAAGGAGATACGAAGCGATAAACAAAAGCGGCCGGCAAATTCGTCATGCGTAATGCCAGAGTGTAATAAGATTGGTGCATCTGCTTTTTACTAGCGGGTACAGTAGTTCGAATCCTCTATCTTGTCCGAGGACTGTAGCGAGTTGCAAAACAGTCAAAGCGCGAAAAGGGTCAGTCACACTACCTCTACTGCATGCAGGCATACCTGCAGGTCCATATTTTATCATACACTGAAACTGGAATGCTCCTCCCAATCAATGTAGGAGGAATGCTCATTTCCTGTCACTTTTGACAGACTGCACAACACTGAAAGGCCTTGGGGGGAGTAGGGAAACCACTTTCCCAGGAAAGTTCCCACAGGCTTGGCTGGCATTTCGCCCAGGTCCTCAGCTCGCAGCCTCTAAAACAAGTACACCTGCCACACATGGATCTTTCTGAAGAGTCACCAAAAGCTTTCTCTATCCTCACAACAAAGTTAAAGCAGGCGCTGATGTGAGCTCTGCACCAATGTGCTGGAAAGCGTATGGCGTCCACTAGAGAGCTGTTAGAGTCATCGTGAGCGTAGACATGGTGATGTTCAGGCGTGCAATTTGTCTAACATTACAGGCTCGGTAGGTTCAGTAGGTTCTCCCAGTGCTTCACTACTGAGATGCCCGTGCAGTGGTGGATCGTCGTTCACAAACTCCCAGTCCTTCAAGGCACCCGAGGACTGCTCTTCCATATGCGGATAGTTCACTAGCTGCTCCGTTGCTTCAACGAGCCCCGCTGGTAGCGAAGAGACCCCTGTGGTATGACGCCTGTCTCTACGATGCCGGCTTATGGCCAAGCTTGTGTAGGCTGTTGTTCCTTTCCAAACTGCACCCTTGCTCCGTTTATGCAGCGGCGATTTTCGCTGATGTCAAGAACAAGCGCCAGGTCAAGCACTGACACATAGACGGCTAGTTCTTGTGGTACCAGACGAAGCAGACCCTAAGTTCCAGCTTCCTTTCGCGCAGAAGCAAAAATGCACCATCATGCTTCAGCAGATTATAGTGAAGCCAGCACAACATTGGCGCGAGTTGCCAAGTCTTATGGGTGGCCTTAAATGTGCCTCTAAGCCGAGAAGTATCTCTTCATTTGCTCCGCATCTCAGCAGCAAAACAATTAAACCATTGAACACGTTCAAGGCAGGAATTGTGCAGGCCTTTCCGATTCCTGAACGAATATGAACGGATATCCCAATCGATTTCATGGTGAGATTATCACCGGTCATACGATGCTGTAGTATCTACGCCGCCTTCAACACTGTTGTATCCAGAAAGTACGCGCATCTCTGCCACTGCTCAAGTTCAATTAGAACAACGGGAGTGGCACAATGATTCATTAATTATCTCTCGAAGCTCCACGGTCTTCCGAAGAACAGCACCATTCCTGAGAGGCGCGTGAATTCGTTAGCGCCCTCTGGGGCCAATTCATGAAGAAACTAAACGTCGACCTCAACATCACCACCGCGAACCACTCAGAGTCAGAACACTCCGGGTAGCGGCGACCCATGCCACGGTCGTCAGCGAAAACACAGTACGTAATTTTTCATCAAACCTATTGAAGAGGCTTTCGCGTAAGTTCCTCTGCACATCGTGTACGTCTGTTTATGGCATATTATAGTTCGGTTCACAACCGTAGTATACGCGTTCCTAGAAAGGGTGCTTCCGCACGTGTGCTCTGTACTTTGCCGTTGCAATGAAGCCAGAGACTTGGGGTACGAGTTTTCTCGAAGCAGCCAACATCTCTCCCTTGTCTCCAGGCATCCTACGCCTTATGCTCAGGGCTTTCAGTTGCAGCGGACGACGCAGCGCGACAGTTCCTGCGGCGCACTCCGCAGCAGCTCGGATGCAAGGCAGACTCACCGGTCAGCACACCGAAACTGTGACGAAGCTTCCCTTACGGCATGATTTATATCTGTAAACACTTACTAAACATTTGTATTTTCTAGCAGGTAACCTATCAATACCAAGTGGGTCCCCCTCTGATTACTGCAGGGAGGCCTATAGAAACAAACCAACGGTGGATGACTGAGGGTCTAACGGTGTGTCTCGATCGGCTAATTCTGTCTTTCTATCCTTTCCCCGGAAAGAAATTGCTAGACAAATTCTTGGAACAGAAGAGTGAAGTCCCAAATTAAATCTTCCCACCACACCTGGACGTATGCTGTGGAACGCCGGCGCGTTGCAGGACGTGCCGTATTCTCCGCCGAATTCAAGCGGAACAAGTGACTGGGTTCTGAAAACAATACTTTTGAGAATGCAGTTCCTCCATATATTGGCGGGAGCTACGGCAAAGTTTTGTATTATTAGCAAGGCTGTACTGTGAAGGTACGTTCCCAGCTTCCGATGCTTCGAATTGGGAGAAGGACCGGAAAAACGGGGTGTGAGGAGTTGGAGGGGTGGGGGGCCGGGGGGTTTAGCGACGTCTTAGATTTCTGTTGTTTTGCTTGGCACGAGAATACCACAAAATATGTGAAAAGCAACTGGTGTCTATTCAAATGCGGCATCGAACGGGGGTGGCACTTACGATGATCAATGCAACGCGGCCCGCGGCTGCCACATACAGATGGTCTGNCATCGAACGGGGGTGGCACTTACGATGATCAATGCAACGCGGCCCGCGGCTGCCACATACAGATGGTCTGGCGTTGCTTTACAGCTGTAGTTCAAGAAACGTTTGCTTTGGGGCCTCTGTTTGCGCTTCAGTGCTTTTTTACTTCATTTGTTGGAGGATTTGCCTCGGTTTTGGAACTCCTTAACCCTTTTTTCCTAATTCATCCTGTTGCGAGGCTCTTCCCACGAGGCTACTCCGCGATCCCAAGTGGTATATATTTATCCTCTTTGGAGACGTACCTTAGCACCGAAGATGCTGCTTCGTTGGGGTTTCGTGCTGTATGCACTTCTCGGTTGCTTACTTTTCAACTTGGTCTACTCCTCTGCTGTTGAGGAGGCAGTGGCCGAGCCACAAGTGGCGCTTGACGAATCTAAAGTATTCGTACAGCCGTCGCAGGATGTTGTGCTCCTTAGTCCGCATTACGGGCTTGAAGTGCCAGGGACGAAGGGAGTAATGCGCGTTATCCTAGGACTATGCCTCATGTTGGGGACC